ATTCAAATAAAAAGCAAAAAAATAAGTAAAAAATTTGTCAAATTGTTAATATCTTTTACTTTTTTGTTAATAATTGAAGTAAAATACAGAGAATAAAATTAAGTATAGTTGAATGATACTTACATTCTTGGTTGATGAAGCGTCACTAGATCCTCTCACAACACAAAGTGATTCTAATACCGAAACGAATATTAAAAAACAAATTTATATACAAAAACTAATAAGACTAACACGCGCGATTAAATTAGAATCAACGAACAAACACAGAAGCTAATTTCGCGAACAAAATTTTAGGTAGCAAACACTGACTCAACTTTCGCGTGTTACTATTATAAGTGAATTTAGGTAAAGCTGTGGTGCTTTAAAAAATGTAAAAGAATTACTACGCAGTAAACACTGATTCTAAAGACCGCATTGCACACGGTCATAAAAACTTTCCTGAAAATAAAGTTGTATTACTAGAGAGAGATGAAGTGGGAAAAGAACTAAAATATTTTCTTTTAAATATTTATTTAAATTAATTTGTGAATTTTAAGCTTTATAAATTTCTCAATATTATAAAATATTTATTGCAGAAAATATTGTGAACATTTGTTACTAAAAATAAGAAAAATATAACAAATGGTTATATTATAATACTTTTGTTGTAAATAATATAACAAAAGTTATATTAATTTCTTAATTAAATGTAAGAAAATTTAATAAATCTACTGAAATTATTATTAAATTATTCAAAATTCTATTTTACAATATTGATTGGAACAACAAAATTATTACAAAGTTACTAAAGTTACCTTCAAATGGCACAGCAATATATATGAATTATGCTTCAACCGTCATTTCATAATCTTCTTACTTCTTTTCTGGTCTTTCATCTATAACATTCAATCATCAATATTCCTTTAATACTGCTGAAATGAACTTTCCTTCTGATAGACTTAACGGTAACATAATTATGTTTCCATAGCTAACAAGAAATATTGTTATTAGAAGACAAACCACTCCTGAACCATTGACTTTGACTCCTTTTTCTTTAAGATGTATTATAGCTATAAAGTAACATAACAACCCTATAAACTAACATCGTCTTATTATTCTTCATTCTTAAACAATGTAATTTCTTCCTGAGCTGCAGTAACTCGATTTTGCATAGTACATTTACTCTACGCTTGTTAAATAATGATTATATTAAACTATATATCTATCAAACAATTTTCTATATGCACTGACATGATCACGCTGTATGCATAAAACCAATAAAAACAATAAAACTAATGCGTAAGACTAATTATTCGATATTCAACATTTGTTGGAAGAAATCCTCTTCTCGTAAATGTCATTTTATTTCAGTTTTCTATGTTATGAATCTGTCAGATGGCTTGGATGTGGAATCCATCTTTACATTCTATGCACATGCTCAAAACTGTCACTTCATTTAGAGGTTATGAATGAATTCTATTATATATTTGAATTCACAACCATTGCAAGAGAAGTATCAAGAATATTTTTAACACAATGAGGTTCAAAAAACAACCTAATATCTACAAACTGCTTCAATATAATTACATGTATTACTTAATACCATGAATAATTCAAGAGTACACATAGCGCTACTACATACACCGATATATATATATATGTAGTATATATATGTTGGCGGTGCTACATATTTCAAAAATGATTCGTTTAAGTTGTTCGAAATAAAAAAAAACAACTTAATATATTCGGAAAAAGGAATTTTCTTTAATTTTTTCTAAATTCATCTTAGTATTCTCACTAAATCGCCAAATTACCCTTATAATTTTTCATATATGTAATTATATCGGAAATTTATTAAATACAGTAAACTATATTAAATTATACTACGTACGCACTATCTACGTATGGAGTGCTATCCTTTGTTTAACAAAAGTGCAATACAATCGTATGAATATATAAAAATAAATTAAACATTACCTAATCTCAACGGACAGCTACCAGCTTGGCGGCAAACCATCATGGCGTCTGTATTTCAAACCGCCTCTTCCTTCGTTACTTCTGAATTCAAGCGACTATCTGTACAAAAAGAAATCAAAAGTTCGAGACAAATATATAAAAATACAAATAAAAATATTGAAGTAAAACAATAATTGAATGCAAAATCTTATTATATCAGCTACCGATAGCACCAAGGAACAAATAGACGTTTGAAAAAAAAGTAACGAGAAATTTCGAAAGGATACCAGATTAACCGCCAACCATCATGGCGTCCATATTTCAATCCGCCCGTTCCTTCTATACGCCTACATTCAATCAACTATTCGTACAAATATAAATAAAAAGTTTGAAGCAAATATATCAAAATACAAACAAAATTACTCAAATTGACGATAATCGAATTCAAAATCTCACTATACAAGCTATCGGTAGCATCAAGAATCAAAGGGACGCTTGAAAAAAAAGTAACGAAAAATTTCGAAAAGCTACCTAATTTCGCTATTATAATGTTCAAAAAGACAGTAAATAAACACTTATCGATGAAATGAAAGTAATGAGAATGTGTAAATGATAATGGAATAGAAATAAAAGTATTACGCAATGAATAAATTAATTGATTTCACGCACCTCGGTCAAAGTAATACATCTTATCGCCGCGACGTTCGACAACGGAATGACTCCCCGCGCCTCAGTTCGCCTATCAAATTAGCAGTGGGGTGGGGAGGTCCGATTTCCTACTCACACAATGTTGCGCAGCAGAAATTTCGTATACATTTTCACGGTCAACGAACTAGTATAAACACAGATCGAATGACCATCTGAGGTCGCCAACGTTTAGTTTTTGCACGGTAGAGTGAGCGTGTTCGAACTTGATCATGCGATTTCTTAGGAAAGTCGTATTCTTGGAAATGTTTTCATAGCCAGGATAGTATACCATAGTTTTGTAACCCGATATATAAGCGTTCAAAACCTTGAGTGTTTTAACGTGGACCATAGGAATTAAATCAATTTGAAATAAAGTTATACTTTAGTCCAATTCAATTATTCGTTGTTCTGTATTAAGAAGAGCATGAAACCAATATTTTTCAAACAAATATTTTGTTCGCTAATGAAGCTACGCAATTTAAACATTTCTAATACTTTTATAATTATTTTACTTTACAGAAATATTTTTAACTTTTAAACCGTTCAAACTTTGAACTTAATTTTGTGTCACGTTATTAATTTTCTAATTAGCAGCCGCGTAATTACGTGCACTGAAATTACGCAAATATTTCACGAATACTTCTATAAAGTAAAATCCGTTATCGCGTTTGCAGAAATTTCATCGGTAATTAGCTTAACGTTTCCCTCGCGGTTTTATTATGCAACAAGCAACTATCGAAACTGCCGAAACAACTATAGAGGAAGAAAGAGGAATGCACGTGGCCACTATTCGCGTGCGCGACCTACGAATTTACGAACATCCTGGACTACCACTATCTTCCCTCCTCTTCGACATGTAGCGCATCCAGGCCGACACAAATACGAACATTTCGCTGTCGACACGCCACGGGCATGTTTTCTCAGCTGGTGCCCTAACTCTCGATCTCGAACGATCCTCTCTTCCCCGTCTTCCACGCCGCAGCAGATCCTGGTGGATCCTTTCAAGACACGGTCGGCTACCCACAAAGGATCTGCCCTTTCATACGCACGTTATTATACTCTTTACAGAATATCGTTCCACCTTCTCCCTTTTGGGAAGACGGAGCGAGAGAGGAGATGGAGAAAAGAAAGGAAAAAGAGGACTCTTATCCTGGTGACGTGCGTGTTGGTGTTTTACACGTGTATACATACGTACGCCCACGCTTTGTGGATCGAGCCTAAGGGCAGGGTGGACGTTTCGACGAAAGCCTCGAGATTTTCTCGTTTAATTTGTTGTTATAGCTGCTTGAGACGCGCGGATCGGCCCGTTCCCTCCTGCCTACGATCCTCAAACATTCATTATGTTTTTTTGTAACACATCCACCAACGCGACTGGAATTGCGGCTTTTACGCGCCACCCTGTTTGCTCTGCAGTCGCGGAGAGATCTGTGTTTCGCCGCGTTCACCATTCTGCTAACCGTCTTTATTAATCGAGGGAATACGGGGGCGGATTAGGGAGCAGCTATTGTACTCGAGGGCGGAGGCTGCGAAATGTGGGCGCTTCTCGAGGAAGGGGATAGAATGTAATGGGCGATTAACGTGGTAATATTCCAGATATCCCCGGATATTCCGGCTCTATAATTTCTAGAATATTTCCAATCCTAGAGAAGCAACTTTGCATTTGCTGAAATTCTCAGGAACATTATATCTCACGTAGATCTTGCATTTTACGATCTTTTACCGTTATGCTATTGGTATTCAATTTTCTGACACTTTATTACTATCACGTGCAAAAATAAAAACGTATAAATTTATTTAATAATTACACGATATTAGAAAATCTCTCTCTCTCTATATATATATACATCTTACGAAATATTCAATAAATTTCACGTAACAAAGCATAAAATATTAAATGTATAAAAAACGTCGGGGCTTTTAAACAACCATTTACGAAACAATAAATTCGTGCACGTATCGCGTACGATAATTTCTGGTCGAAGTAACGTGTAGCGGATAGAGAGTACACTCGCGGAACTCAATTGAGCAATTGATCGCATCCTATCGTCGATTGCGTCACGGATTGCGTTTGATGCGATTAGGAAGTAGTATTATCGCGGTCCATTAGCGATTGTTTGTAAGAAAGAGCAAGTCAATCTCCGACGTTCGATGAATCGTGAGAAATGCAATTCAGACAGCCTCGAAAACGTAATGAACCATTCAGGGGCCTAGGCGGATCTCTTCTGCCTGATTTGGCACATTTTCCTTCCCTATTGCCACTGTCAGAGAGTGCCGTTGGCAATTCTCGATCCATTTTCTAAAATCGCACGACGAATGATGACAGAGTAGCTGTGCATTTCCTTCGATAAAATTATTCTTCGTCGAGGTTGGCTGACACGTCAGTATCTTCCTACACGATCGGTAAAAGTGCTGAGAAAAACGTGGCGAGCTTCTCTCGATGGAAACACTGGGCCCATGCACTCCAGGAGCAGCTGATTTCTCTCTTTCACGGCGGTTTTGAAATCCTCCTGCGAAATTGCGCCATCGCGATCTACGTCCAGCTTCTTTATTAATAAATCTATCAAGTCCTGTGAAACGAAAAACCTATTACAATCCCAATGTTATAATATAACGAAGAAGAAACGAAAGAAATACTCGAAAATAAAATAGGCTGCAGAGAAATTTATAGAAAGATGCAACATTCAAATAGCAAGTTCGCTGTACCTTCACAGCTTCTTCCGGGTTCTCATCGTTCTGCAATTTAATTAAACATCCACGCATGATGGGAAATATTTGCTCCTTTTTTAATCTGTGAGTGCTCATACTATCGTACACCTGATATTCATTGCGTTACAGAAGAAAGACAGGGAGAATTAATTAAGAAAGCAATAAAGGTTTACAGATATGAAACGAAGATAGTTACCTGATAAGCAAATTGAATCTTCTCATCCAAATTCCCGCGAAGCATCACCGAAAGACCTTCGATCCATTGATCGCAATATATCTAAACAATGCTGCACGTTAGTTAATCGACATTTCGTATTCATGAATAATCGTTTACCTGCAAGGCATTATGTTTGTCGATTACGGAAAATAATTTGTCGATCAACAAGTGACGGATGTTTTCCGTGAAGTCGAAGCCAGCGTGGAAAATGTCTCGGAATGTTAACCTGCTTATGGGACCCAAGGTTTGCACGCACTTACGGTGTATAATTGACAAAGCTGTCAAACGAAACGATCAGATTAGTATAAACTATAGAGAAAATCATGGCGTCTCGAATTTCTAACCTTCAACTTCTCTCAGATTGAAGTGCGTATTGCGTGCCAATCTTTTGAACCTTTGCATGTTCTTCGTTCTATAAACGATCTCTGCTAGCGTGTCATTTAGCATATCAACTGGCTGTTCCGACGGCATTTTGCTTCGTTTTTATACTTGCGAATTTTGATTTACGAAATTCGTAAAAGTGGAACCACTTGAACGGTGTCACACGATAAAAATCGATCTGTTGTTTTATTTTCCGAATTCATCGAGTCTTCTGTAATCCTCGAATGATTTCAAAGTTCGTTTCACTTGTTGTAATAATTAATTTATTAATAATGTTTATTTGTAATAGAATGCTGATCCCGCACGGAGAACAAAGCAACGATGGGAATATCAATGGGAGAAAACATGGATTTCCAGGGGTCCATTCCGGGAGACAAATCAACCCATTTCGTTCTCTCCTCTCCTCTCCTCTCCACTCTCCACTCTCTCCTCTCTCCACTCTCTCCTCTCCTCCCCACTCTCCACTCTCTCCTCTCCTCTCTCCCACTCTCTCCTCTCCTTTCCTACGGTTGTTGAACATCGAGTTCTCATATGAATCCAGGATGTGGCAGTAAGGCCCATTAGCTCAGTTGGTTAGAGCATCGTGCTAATAACGCGAAGGTCGCGGGTTCGATCCCCTCATGGGCCAGGTGTATTTTTTTTGTAATTCAGTTAGGTTATCCAAAAATAAATGCTTAAAAGAGGAATTTTCGTAATAACTTTACTCTGCAGTATATATACGTTTAATAAATAGCGCTTTGGAATTCCGAATCTTGATTCTTATTTAATTCGTTGCATTCTGCGTATCTGAGCCTGTCATCGTTAATTCACATTACACTCTCAATTAACATCACGAAATTCCATCCGGTGAAAACTATAAGAAACGTCGATTACGCAAATCGTCGCGGTAACAAGCTGGCAAATCCGAGCGGGGCGTTCGATAAATGAATTCGTTTAATCCCGCGCTTGCAGAAAGTCGTAAGGAAGATTACCATAAACACTGGCGCAGTTTTGCGCGGGAAGGGGATAAATCACGGTAAGAAGGATCGTAAAAGATACCCGCGTGGCCACGAAATCCGAGCGAGAAACGAATTTTAGCGTAATAACGGATGAACGGTGGTCGCTCGACGCTCGAATTCGTTTCACGGGAGCTGTTCGACCACCGTAAAGGACGCTAATAAAATTCCGCCTAAGTATATCTAATGACATCATTTGGAAAGGGCACGTAATAAACAGGCACGAAGCCACGAGGATTTCGTCGAGCGTGTAAAAACGTGGAAACATCTTAAGGAGCATCCGCAAGGGTGAGCATGGCCTTCTGGAGACATTGGTCACGTGGAAGGGGTTGCGGATACAGTGACTGGAATATCGTATGGGTCTGGTGGTCCGGTAGGAATAAAAACGAGCAGAATACGAAGTTCTGGCTCCTTCTCCTGTCACATGCGAATTGTCGCGTGGTTTCGGGAACCGACGGTTACTTCGCTTTGAACGTAAACGAAATATTAAGATTCCTGGGGGAACGGGGTTAAGGATGTATGCACGTTTACGTGGAAGGCTGAAGCTTTACGTGTACGAAGTTGAAATAGTGAATGAATATGAATCGAGTAGAGCTAGTTGTACGGTGTTCATTGTCATTCTGTTCGGAGTATAGTAATTTGGGAAGAAATACGACGCTTGGTATTTATGAATGGATAAGAGCATATTCGTGACTTCTCATTCTTAACTTGGACTAGGTCTCCAACGAATGTTAACGGTATAAGTAGTATATGTCTTTGCAGGTAAAGAATTTTAATTTTGTCAAGTAGCTCCTCTTAATCTTTACTCGCTTCCCTCTGTAGTATTTTAATTTTGTTAAATTTTACGATAAGGAGAAGAAGATCAGAGAACGGTATCTATCTTTGCAACTTGACTATAAATTCCCAAAATCCGTCGAATAAAAGTTAGATAAATTTGACTACTTTGTTTCGATCGACGCCTCACAATTATGTTTCCCAAGCTTCCTTCCGCGACTCTCGATTCCCGAAAGTCGAGGAGACTCTGCGATTCCCAAGAATCCTGGCAAATTTAAAGACTCCCCCAAGCTATGAGCCTGGCAAATGCAGCATCATCGGCCATACTCGCGAGGCATTTCAATGATCTCAGCTCGGCCGACCCCTGTCACCGTTAAGCACTCAATCAAGCCCAACAGGCTTCGAGCGAAACAATACGCGTCCGTGTGTACTCGCGAATGAAATGTGCAGTCGCGCGTGGGCGCAGCGCTTGATAATATGCATTCGCGGGCGAACAACGGGCCGATCCGCGACGACAGACCGACCGGGGACGCACGAACGGGCGCAAGAAGTTCCCTTCTCGCACGGTCCCTGTAATCACGGGCTCATTAGTCCTCCGCCGGCGGATAAATTACGGCGAGGGAAGAAGGCAGCCGCATTGTTTCGCGTAAGTGGGCATCCACGAGTACCACGAGCACGGTTGGATCGGTTTCACGAAAGGGCGCCATAAGCAGAGGTGGACTGAACCCGTAGACTGTGGGGACCAGCGGAGGTTAGGAGTCGAGAGAGGCAAGACGCGACGGAGAATTCCTGGTGTCTTCTCGGGCTTGAAACCGAACGACCGTAATCTTGGGCTATCTAACGTTGTAAACGTAGCGAGGTGATGATTTGCGACCTCCCCGCAGCGAACGTGGCTCGAAGGAAGGAACCAGCCAGGACCAGCCTTCTCTTTTTCTCTCCCCCTGGACCCCTTTAGATTCAATTTCGCGGGGCGTCAGCCCGCTGACGCGACGTCCGCCCACCTTCTGCGGGACGTTGATGTACGATACGGTGCACCGGGCCGGACGCGTGAAACTTCGGAAGATTCGCGCGAGCGGATTGTTTTTCGGCCCGTAAACGCTTTGCAAAGTAACGCCGTTCGTTTTCTTTCTTTGCGAGTCGCTGCAGCGTTCAGCTGGCATCGCGGCAGATTGAGGCCGCGCGGAAAGAGGGTGAAGATGAAACGTTGCTTTCGTGGTTTAACGCTTTGGAATTTGGAAGTTTTAACGATCGCTCGTCACCGTGAAATTTATATCGGTTCGCCGAGTAAAGCGGATTTAATAGAACCTTTCACGGTACCCGCTGGTTATACAATAATTTTCCCGCGATGCGATCCTATTTCCATTACCGTTTTATAGGCATATTATTTTCTCTCGTTTGAATTAACACGAGTTCTAGTTCGCAGAAAGCAAATAGATCCATAAAGCGTTTCATTTCGAAATACTAGAGGTTGTTATCTAAATAGGATATCCGCCGAACTTCGTGCAAAACCATAAACTACAATAGTTTCGTCAGTGAAATACGTGAACCAGCTTAAAGTAAATTCGCCTATTCGTGGCTTTGGCTCACTTTGGTATTATAGCTCCATCGTTTCGAGAAGAATATTCTAAATAAATAACAATATTTAAATAATTACAAAAAATAGTCCACGAAATTATCGAGCACTATAATAAACTCGTATTCTGTTTCAGGTGAAACTCTCATTTTCATTATCGCAGAAGAAAGTCAATTGCCTCTATTCTTACAGTCGACCGGTCGTATCCAAATGGTCGCCGGAGCGTATCGATCTGCTCAAAAATCGCACTCTTCACCTTTCATACGTCCGACGAGACAGCGTTGCTGATCTAGTGGAAAATCTGGACGAACGAACGCACACTCCGGCGCGTTAATTAAGACACGGATAGACCAGAGATCGTTGCAATAACTGGCGAGTAGATCTAGTGGTTTAGGATCTAGCCGTGAGAAAGATGCATCCGCGCGCGCGTTTCACAATTTACGTTTCACAAGGTGCACGGGAGCGGATTGCAACCGCGATTGTATAAAGCTTGATTTCCATCGGTGTTTGTCGAATGTGCCTCCTAATTTAAAATTTCTTTGCCATCGAACGAAAGCAATTTGCATTCTGAATTGACAAATCCGTACGACTTTACTTTGTCGATCTTAAAAACAGCTAAAAGATCTCAAATATTTTCCAACATTTGGAACAAAATAATCGTTCAAGTCTAATAATTAAATTTAATTAATTTATTTTAGAATTCGAGGAAGAGTTTGGTTTACTCGGTGAGAGTTATATCCCTGGTTAGGCTTACTACTTGGATCATTAGCACTTCGCGAATTTATGCGTATTCTTGTAGTACACATGTACAGTCCTCGATCATAACTAACCACGATCACCTCGAAAGCAAGTGAGAAACGAGCCTAACTATCCCGTGTGCATGGATACACGCGATGCAGAGGATTGCACACGGCGGGAAGATCCAAAGATCGTCCGCGGGGGAAGAGGTATGATCCATCGGAGAGGGTGTTCGATCGAGGCTAGCCTATCGTTACGCAAGCGTCAGCACGCAACACTTCCATTGCCTTCACGCGCAGATTTCACGTGTTTACCGCGATTTCATACGCGAACGAGATGGAAACGGTGTAATTAGGAATGTTCCCCGGTAATTGGTCGAGATCGTGGTTCAGATCGTTGTGGGAACAGATACGTCGATCGAGAGAATAACGAGATGTTCTATGGCGTTTAGGCTCGTATCGAGGAAAGTATAGCTCGATAGTATCAGCAGGATTGGGTGCTAGAATAATTGCAATAAAACTAATAAGAGAGCACGAGCTGTGATATTTATATCCACGAGAGTATTAACGCTGAACTATGATTTAGGCTATATTTGGATTCGGTTATCTTATTTTTAACCCGTGGTACACCATCTTATACGGTTCATTTCTTGGTTTAATCCTGATAACGAAGACTTAGTAGTGATAAAAACGCTGATTATCTTTAATCTCTTTACTCTTCTTCCTATCTCTTCTTTGTTTAAATATATTAATATATTTTTCTTTCTCCTTCTTCCTTTTTTCCAGTACAGGTACTCTGTTTTTATTTTCATTGCGTTTTACAACGTTATAAACTGCTGTGTTTAACTGCATAATTAGTAAAAAGAATCACCATTCGTTCCACGAGAGATATATAATGTTTCCACAAAAGGGAGGGCACGCGTATACCTCGAAATCCGGCGAACCACTCCCACCCTCCTCCAGACCCCGCAGTTTCCACGTAACCCCCTAAGCAAGTCTACTCGAGAGGAT